AGTAGTTGTTTGGGAATCCACCCAAACTCTTGATTATCCTCTTTCTGATTGTCTTTTTTTTTTTTTTATTTCAGGGCAGGGGTTTGGGCGGGGGGGGAGGTGGGGCATGCCTGCAACTGGAACAGTGCTGAACAGCACGTTTTCTGTGTTCCAGAAGTTGTACCATCTGAATGCACGCAGAACAGAAGCACTGTGCTTAGATGTTTTTCTTCCAGTTCAGAACGTGTCTGTGAGATACTCATATAGTGCTAGTCTTGGATACATACACATTCAAAGTATGAGGAGATACAAGAAGGAATGACTAGAGTACAGCAGCTTTATGTTAAAAAGATTTTTATGAAGGAACTCCAAATACAAATGATTCGGAGGAAGGAACGTGGAAGCTACATTCAACCATCTTAACAGGGCCATTGTGGTAGATGCCCCTTTCTTACACTGCCTAGATCTGCTTCAACCATAGGCTGGGAAATGATGAGTTTTATAAGTGGTTTTGACAACAGGAGATTGGTTTAAAAGTCTCAAGAGGCTCTTTTAATTATTGAAGTCATTATCACATGGTTCATGTGGAGGAACTAAATGCCCGAAATTCATTTCTGAGCCATGTGCCTACCAGGAGGTAGGCACATTGGTAACTGCTAGAGTGTTGGGAAGGAACTTTTCAATTGGTTTTGAAAATATCTGTGAAACACCCCATAAAATTTTGAGAAGATAATTAGTTTATAAGACCAGCACCAGAAAGTTAGTAAATGTCTGATTTAAACTTTCCAGACTGGCCCCAGTTTGATTTCATTGTTGGAATTTGTAGCTGTGGTTGAATTATACACAGTGCTAGTCAAGCCAAATATGTATGTAACTTGGATCCTTCATTTTCTCTGTCCCTAACCTGGGGTTCTAGAGCCGGCTTTGCAGCAGTAGTGAATCTTGACTGCTGGTGTTAATGAGGGCTCTGCTTTGGGCATAGAAAATGCAACAGAATTTAGAGTACCGAGACAACTCCAACTTTGAAACATCTGAAGTTGGGCACTCAAAATCAGTGACCTTTTTTAGTCTTAAACTTTGGTTTGAAAATACATTAAGATCAGTAAAGCATTTATATATATTGGACAGACGGGCATCTTGGAAAAACGCATGAGGTAGTGAAATCCGTCTTCAGAGCAGTTTCTTCATCATTCAGCCCATCAGTGGTAGGCTAAGTCCTAGGTCCATGTGTTGAGCAATGGGAAAAAAAGCAGAAATTAATCAGAATAGCAGCTGATTAAATGCGTGCTGTCCATTCCTTGCACTGAATAATGTAGAGAGCTTGTAGAAATTGTGCCTCTGAAGACTGTGAGATATACAGGGCGTTGATTAAACATTGCACAGGCGGCATCAATCAACTTCCTAGATTTCGAAGGTTTCTTTTGCAGTCGTCGTAAGCGGTGTGTATGCGTACAGCAAAAATAGCAGGTTAAGATAGCAGGTGCGTGCCTGCTGATAGAAGTGATTGAAAAGCCTGTTGGACAGAACTAAAGCCTGTGCTTTATATGTACTTGTATGTATTTTGTTTTGTTAGATAGGAAAAGATTTTAACAGACAGCTACAGAAGACCATTTAAAACATAAATTTTCATAACAGTATCAGCAGAAACCCTGTTTAGTAGGTACATCACTGTCCAGGAGAAAGAGCAGTGTTTATACTTCAGGGCTATAAGAGTGTATTTTTTTTTAATCTCCAGTCTTCTTTCATGTTTTCCTTTAGTTTTACTTCACAAGCAAAACATTCACCAGTATAAATTGGACTACCAAGTCCTAGTAATTAACTTTCTAATAGGAAAGTGTCACTTCTTTGGAAGATTAGTAAGTCTGTTTACCGTTCAGAAAATACTGTAAAAGGAGTTATATGGACTTTGCTATAAAATGGATTTGGTTTTCCTTCCTATTTGTGGTTGTCTCAGGTTTTACTGTTCATACAGGCTACTTTACTAAAAGCATTCATTTAATAGATTGTTGGACAAACTGAAATAAATTATGACGTGCCTATAGTGGAAATGAGCTGGCTTTAAGCATTAGTTCAGATTTGAGATGCAGAGGTTTTTACCAGCTATCCTTCTCTTTATTTTTCTTCTTTTTTTTTTTCTTTTAATCTGTTTAATACAGTGATTACAAGGGATTATATGTATCTGAGTGTCCCGAGTAGTTACAGAGTCAGACGCCTCTCTGCTTTCCCTCCTGTGGCTAATACTCTTTGAACTTGAGCCGCCTTACAGCATCAAAGAGATGAGGGTGTGGAAGGCACGACTACCTCGAGTTTGCTTATTTTGTCTTAAGTCTTTGCATCAGCAGGTACGTAAGGGTCACCATGGAGAGAATTACGGCACGAGGCAGGCTGTTTCCTCTGCCTGACACTGCTTGGCTTTGAGTGACAAGCTGTGGCAGCACGCAGGCGCACAGCCGTGATCCATAAGCGACAGTGTGGCAGCGGCGAGCATCCCTGTGAGCTGTACCGGCATTCTGGTGGCTGTGAAACGGCTCCCAGTACTCGGTGTGACAGATTGAGCGAGCCCAGGGATGCTGCAAGGTGGATTCGTGCAGCGAAACATGAGAGGACGATGCTGCCTTTGAGGTATCGCAGCTCTCCTTCAGAGAAATTGTGAAATTACAGCCCCGTCGGCTTGTCTCCCGGCACAGTTTAATCCAAAGTCTGCGATACCACGAGTGTCAGCGGAAGGGATGATAAACTTAATACGTTGTTGCCTTCAGAGGCTTGTTCCGCTGCGGGGTGTTGCTGTCTGCCTTCCCTACTTTTCCCCCTCCTTCTGAAAAAATCATTTCAGGCTCCTCCGTGCAGTTGGATAGCGCGTGCTCCAAACACTGACGGCGGTCTCGGCTGCCCACGTGAAGACTCCCCTCCGAGGAGGGGACTCTCTCGCCATGCTTTGTAGCGCTACGTGCAGGTGCTGGACTTCGGAATTAATGGTTGAACGCCTGGCTCTTGAAGAGCTGAGCCTTCTCCCTTCAGAGTGATGTTATTTGGCTTTTTTCCAAGGGAATGGCTCAACGGTGTCTTTTGCCCTCGGCATGCAAGTTGCTGATACTCGTCATTCTTCTCATGACAGGCTGCTGACACCCTGGCTGTGAGGCAGAAGAGAAGGATCTATGATATCACCAACGTTTTGGAGGGGATTGATCTCATTGAGAAGAAGTCAAAAAACAGCATTCAGTGGAAGTAAGTTTTGTCAATTCTGCTGATTTTTACGCACTCAGAAGCAACAAAAATTGCCTCCTTCCACTTCTGACTAGATATGACACACCATAAAATTAACCTTACACTCAGCAAATGAGCAATACAACATTTTGGAATCACAGTAAACTTGCAAATCTTCCCTTTAACTTGCATCTTTGATACATAAAATCAAGTTTACAGCATACAGGAGAGAAAACTTTTAGTGCTACTTTATAACTAGCAATTGTGGTTGAAAAATTTACTCTAGGTGAAGCTGGGAAGGGTATTGGGACATGCTGTCTCTGCCTGCCTACCCACCTGTAGTTCTTGCGTATTTTCTCTTGGGTTGCTGAAGGTGGAAGGTCAAGCTAAGAAGAGAAGGAGAAGGAGCCTGCAAACCAGCTCCAATCGCAGAAAAAGATACATTCCAAAAGAAACTAAATTTAGGTAGAGGAGAATTCTAAATTGGATCTGAAGTTAAGAATTTTTATTTTTCTGTTAAAACACTGCTGGGAGGGTACATGCTCATTTCCTTTATGTTGAATATTAGGAGATTTTCAAAGTGTTTAGTCTTAAGAAATTATCTTTGCATGTTTGCTTCAGATTTTCATTTGTCATTTCATGAACTTTTATACCTTTTTAAGAGGAGTAGGTGCTGGCTGCAATACAAAAGAAGTCATAGACAGGCTGAGGTATCTGGAAGCTGAAATTGAAGATCTAGAGCTAAAAGAAAAAGAGCTGGATCAGCAGAAACTGTGGCTACAGCAAAGTATCAAGAATGTCATGGATGATTCTACAAACCACCAATATCCTTTTAAATGAATTGAACTAGAATTAAAGCAACAGTTAAAGCGTAGGTTATGGGTAATGTAGTAGCCCATTTTATCCAGAAGCAAGGAAAGGCATTTTTTTTTTTTTCTGGGTTTGGTTCAAAAAGAAAGAACATATAAATCTTATTTACATGACTTTTTAACCTCTATGACTGTATGATTGGCAGCTTGAAAATAATATATATATAACATATATATGGCAGTAATTTTTAAGTCCATAGTATAATCCGGGTGTCTTATTTTAAATTAATTATATTATTTTCCAGCACTCAAATTTATATTTGCTTAGTGGTGCTTTACATTAATCTCTTTTTGTGTTGCTTCCTTCTCTTGGAAAGATTAAGCCGTCACTCAAAGATAAATTCAGATGACGAAGTCCTGAAGCTTGTTGGATTTAAAACTGGAAAAATATCTTGTGTTATATTTCCTGATAATAAAATATCTCCATAAGCAGAGACTTCAGCTATGTTATTTGTAACCATGTGTTTAGCTGTCTTGCAAGATATTGAGCAAAACAGACACCCGAGGTTGGGAGCAGGAAAGTGCCCTTCTTACCTATAGCACTAGTGATAAGTACTTAAAAATTACCTGAGTTGCTCTGTAGAAACTGTAAAATGGATTTTGTAACAAAGGAGATGGAAGTTAAATGTTAGGAGAAACTTGCCTTTGGGAGAGCTAGCACTGGAATTGATGCCCCAGGGAGGTGGTGGAATATCCATCGCTGGAGGTTGTTCAGAAAAGGGGAGGCAAACATCTGTCTGGAATGTCATTAACAGTTGATTCTACCTTGAGGTGGTGGAATGGGATGGCAGATGAACTCTCAAGTCCCCTCTGGCAGTATTTTTGTGTGATTCTGGGAAGTCCTGATACATTCTTGAATTCTGTATTGTCAAGTTCATGAGGTAAATGGTATTCTTCAAAACAAGATTTTACATTTTCTCTTTTTTTAGAAGAAACTTCTCATTCAGGCTACACAACTTTTTCCTTTTTGTATTTTCTTCACAGATATAGATTATTTTTTTCTTTTAAAGACAGAACTCCACTATTTTTAATTAGCCATTCTGAAAGCCAGAAATCATGCCTTAATTATGCCTCCGAGTAACAGCAGCAAGTTTATCATTTAGGCTCAGTTTGGACAAACTTCTTTTAAAGGGCAATGAGTATCAGTTTCGTGTTGCTTTAATAAAAAAGTTCCTTGACATAAATTACATTTTCATATGTAACCCATGAAGATATCTGTAACTGCTTCAATGGTAAGTTGCTGCTGGGCTGTATTTCTTAAAGTGAGGGATTTCCTGATCTTCCTCTTGAGCACTAACTTGCTAACTAACCTGCTTTTTCCCTGCAAGTATTCTGAATTTAGAAAAGGTATTTAATAGGGATCAGTGCTAAGTAGATATTTCTCATGATGTTCATAACTAGCAAGTTCTGGCATTTCCTAGTTGTAGTCACAGATTGTGCAGAATGGAAGTTCAGCTGTTTTCAGGGTAGTGGTTTTGGATGTCTTTTTCTGTATTCATACTTTGCAGCAGCTTGCCTCGGGCCATTAACAGAACCAGGGCCAGGGCATGTTGGTCCAACCCACCAGAAAGACCAGGCAGGTCCAAATTTCCTAAAATTTTCCGGTGGCAGCTGCGGCCAGAGGGAGCTGTTGAGGGTGCCATATGAATGGAGCCAGCTGAAGTTCAATGATGGGGCATTGCTACTAAATCAAAAGGATTCCTAGTGTACAGGAGGTTGAAGAAATTGCTGAGAATTGCAGGCAGAAGTTACTTCCCTTGACATCCTTTCCTGATCCTGGGGCACCCAAGAGAAGATTGGTGCTAGACTCAGAACCATCTCTTCTTTGCCATAAGGAAGGTTGGGTTTGTTTTTGAATAAAAATGCAAGATTAGACAACTACTGCAGAGTTTAACGAAAATGAGCTGTTACTGAAAAGAGTTAGTCGTTACAAAATGCAGAGACACTAGTACACCAGTCACATAGCACTTCGTGCAAGTATCTCTCAGGAGGCAGAGAAAGAAAAGCATTATTCCGAGTTAAGGGACACAGGGGAAATGATGTGCAGGTAGGTGAGTGACTTGCAGTGTAAGGCAGGTTGTGCCAGTGCTGTTGATGTGATTGTGATCTCCTGACTTTAACCAATACATTATAGTGCACATAGTAAGCCACAGGTGTTTGACAGCCAGCTCATACATCCCAGTTGTATGTGCTGCAGAAGCTGCGAGCTTAGACACTGGGAAATGCTGGCACTGAAGACAATCATTAAGACCCTTCCTTCCTTCTGTTAAATCTCTCTGTACTACCACCATTCTTCAAAGCCAGAAAGTGAGCTGGACCAGAGAGCTGGTTTAGCTGGAAATGAAACTGGTTAAATATTTTCACCTCATGTTACGCATACAACTAGGAGATCCGGGGATAGTAACAAACAGGTAAAGGAAATGGTAAATCTTGTACTGCTATGGAAAAGGTTCTTGCAACTATGGTCTAAGTATTGGAATTCTGTGATTTATAGTATAGGATATACTCAGATCTTAACGAGAGTATGCAAGTCCCACCACAAGTTTATTTATGCTAGAATTACGCACTATTTTAAGTGACCATAGAGAATTCCCATATCTCATTTGAGTGGATACCATGCAAGACTTAAGAAAAATATGCACACTTAACACTTTCTTTAAAATTGCTGTTTAACCAGGAGACACACTTCTAGCAATTCAAGCACCTTGTGGCACACAGTTAGAAGTACCTATACCCGAAATGGTATGTACTGGTTTCTTGTTTACCTGAGTGTTCTAGAGGGACAGTGGAAAAGAAGAGCTATGTTAGAGTAGAGGATTTATCTCTATCTGTGTGCAGGAGAGGGAGGGGAAAAAAAAAAAAGATGGTTTCAGTTGAGAAAGGAGAGGTTGGGTGGGAAAAAGTGGGTTTTGTACACCTAGATGGACTAATGGTAACTCTGTCTTCTATTAAAAACAAGATATAATAGTGGGTTTCTTTGCCCTCTCTCTTCTTTCTTGCTTTTAAATGTTGCAACTTTCCAAATTAGGCATAATTGTCATGAATTCCCTTGAGAACTTATTAGCAGCAACTTTTATGTGTCAAATTTCTCTGTTGTATTGTTAAAACATCTCTTATGAAAAAGCCTTTTAGATTTAGTTGTAGATTTAGTTAATGTTTAGTCTTATGATTCTAGACTGGCTAGAGAAACAGACAGCAGTCTTGCTATAACCAAAAGGCTCAAATGGACAAGATTAAGAGGCCAAATGACTTACCTCTGTCCATCTTTAATTCTTTTTTTGTTGTTGTTGCAGTGCTCTGTTTAAAATAGAGTTTACATAGGTGGGAGAGAGCATTGTATGAAGCCTGATAGCCACTATACTTGCAGAAGGCTGAAATTCACCTGAAAAGTTTCACAAGCTATTTTTAGTGAGGCTAAGCACAGTCTAATTAATCGTAAGAGCATCCAAAGCTAGAACCATGAAGCTCATCAGTGGTACTATCTTTGTCCATTTCTGCTGAAATCAGTTCAGGCAATGGTAAGGTTCTCTGTGGGACCAAAGTTAGCAGCTGTGATGTTGGGGTGTTGGTTTTCTTGGCTTTTTGGTAATGAACACGAAGATCAGCTGTTTTAGTTCTTGACAAGTTCAAACAATGTTTTTGCTTTGGTTCCCCTTCCCTGAGGCTCCTTTCCCACTTTTCTCATCCTCATTTTTTCTAGAACATACTTGCTGAAAACCTATTTGCTGAATTAGCCGCTGTGGAGTCAGTGGTTTCATTGAGACTGTGCTAGAGGAAGCTAGTCCTAGCTGTATTGCTTAAATAACTTGCCAAAAGAAGGCCTGGCAAATCAGCGAAGAAATTGTTTCTACTGACTCATGATCCTGTGTTCACTCAGTCTGGGTGAGATATCCGACTGGTTTAGGATGCTCGGTCCCAACCAGGATTGTTCTGAAACTCCATTTAAAAGGAAGAAATGAAATGTACAGAAATCATTATTTATCATTGTCGTTGATAAGATGTAGCCCTGCTATGTCTCATGTAACTTGAATTCAAGATTTACTTAAGCGCTTAGAAGAATTGTATATTTGTGTCGTCTGTAACTGTGTTCTGGACAGGTAAATACATTACAGGTTGATAATCTGGTTTGGTTTTTTTTTTTTCTTTATTAGATCACGTTTTAAATATTTTTTTTCCTGAGTATGATTTGATAAGTTTGTGCCAATTATCAGTTCTTCCTAGTCATCTAACTAGAAGAGCACTGTATTTATCTTCTTGGAGGTAAAAAGTACATCAGTTTGAGAATTCTGTTCGGACATCTTTACTTTCTGTGGGAATTAACTCTATGCAGTTACTGTTGTATTTTGTGAAGTTCCAAGTTCTCAAGGAACAGTAACTTTCATAATATACCACCTTTACAGGGACAGAACGGGCAGAAGAAATACCAGATCAACCTTAAAAGTAGTTCAGGACCTATCCATGTGCTGCTTATAAATAAAGAGTCAAGCTCCTCCAAGCCCATGGTGTTTCCAGTTCCTCCGCCCGATGACCTTGCACAACCCTCATGTCAAACTGCAGTTCCAGCAACTCCCCTTAAACCTGCTACAGCTTCTCAGAATCCACCAGAACATGATCTGAACCAAGCACAAGAGTTACCGCAAACATCAGCTGTGGACACGCCATCAGGTGAGTCCAGGGATTTTCCTACCTTCATGGGTGGAGGAGGAAAGGAACTGGAGGGAAAGAAGAAACTGTTAGAAGACGTGGTAGATCATGGAAGGATCAAGAATTTGCATAGTGTAGCAGCTGTCTGTTAAGAAGTGACCCCAAGGGCTTACTAACAGCTCTCAAGAGGTTACAGAGAAGCCTCTTCCTCTTCTGTCTGGTGAAACAGATTCTTCCCTTGTAGCTTATCATCTTACATTGAACAGGTTTTAGTTGTGGTCCTGTTAATTATTCGGAGGTGCTTCTCCAGAATTCAGTATGGAATGAAATTGCCAGCCTCTAAGGGAATATATGATTTGAACATGTACTTTGTAATGAGACACGTACACAGGCACCAGTTCCAGCTTTTGTGCCACAAGGTCACTTACCTTCTTCCACGGAGCCACAGTGAGAGACTGCCTGAATTATCAGGTATTTTTTTTCATAGCAATACTAGGGTAATATGCAAAGACCGAAGAAAACGCTGTCAGTGATACAGACTGTGTTTCTGAGTGGTCCTGATTACATTATATCTGTGACTCTGGAAGGGGGAGACTCCTCACCTCATCCCAGACATTGGCCATGTTCTCCTCAAAAGATGAAGCTGGGTGCAGGCCTTTTGTGCTCCCTTTAACCATCACAGGCTTTATAACGTGCCTTTCTGTCTCTATAGACAGCAGCGTGCAGCAGAACAGTACAACCCCAGCAGCTCCTTACTCCAGCCTTCCAGAGTCGGTGTTGTATCCCAGCCTTTCAGGAGATGTCAGCCAAGCTACAGCTAGCTCAAGTGACTACCAGGGCTTGCTGCCCCTGGATGTTAACTGTATTCTCAAGCCAAACTCATTCGACATAGCAAAGATGGAGGAGCCAGCAGGTAGGAGGAAGCAGTTACTGTTTAAATGTTTTTATTAGTTTGCTGAGCCCTTCTTTGTGACCAAGCTACCGATGAGGTACACAGAGGGAAAGATGGGCACTTTTCCCAGAGCCTTTCCCAGGCCTTTGTTCGTCTCCTAATGCAGCCACTGAGCCACTGCCGAGTAGCAAACTCATTTTGAGCAAAGTACCTTTCTCTGCCATCAAATAAGCTTCATGTTGTCCATGGCTCTAGGGTTGTAAAGGATCAGTGGGAGATACGTATCAGGAAAAACTGAGGGATACAAAGATGAATATATTTTACATATACATGGCGTACTGTCTGCACAGCTCCTATGCTGCACATGAGCCATACTGCACTTTGCAATTCAGGGTTTTAATGCAGAGAATATGTGTTGACTTCCATAAACACAAGCTCCTGTCTTTCACAGGAAATATCAGTGGAGATATTATTGATGAACTCATGTCTTCTGACGGTAAGTATTTAGCATCTCTACTTTTCTAATAATCACAAGTAGCAGCACGGTTTTCGTGTGAACAGCACTCTTGGTAGGTGTCTGTAAAATCTGATGCCAAGAGTCAGTATGAAACCACTTCTTTCCCCTGTACTGCCTCCTCTGTCTTCGTCGTTCTTGTCTTTGCTCCCTTTCCATTCTCTGCAACAGTTTTGTTTAACAATCAAAATATGAAAGCCTTAATCCAGCAAGCGCTTACATGCATGAGTAACCTACCAGTCCTTAATTCAGGAACAAAGAAAGAACAGGCTGACAATTGCAGTGCTGCCTTAAAAAAAAAGAAGCAAAAAAAAATCTGGTTTAATTCTGTTGTGCCTCAGGCTTCCTGCAGGAGCTTTGAGTAAACATTTTGGAACATACTTAGGTGCCTGCATGCAGACTGACAGATGGCCAGCTGCGGTACACTAACAGAACAGACAAACGTCACCTGTTTCTGCTCGTGCACCTCAGTGGCCGTGTGAGTGCAGAACCACAGCTAGTAAGTTCATGTGCTCCCTGCCTCTCTGCTCCTTCTCGCTACGGTGCCAGGCGAAGAGGTGAACTCGGCTGCCGTCGTTCCTCTTGCCCTGTAAATGCACTGCTGTGAGCAGGCTCTGCTAATACCTGCCCTTCAAGCAGACAACCTCCCTCAGGGCTTATCCAGAAAGAGCCATGTAATTATAAGATCGAGGGGCAAGATGGGATTATGTGAATCTGCCAATACACGGCTAAAATGGACATAGTTTCCGCTTTTAGAGCAGGTACAGCATGCCCAGCCCATCTGTGCTAGGTTAGCCTTCCTGAGGTGCAGCATGTGGGCTGAGGCTTCTCTTCTTGCATTCCCTCCCCAAAGACAGCTTCAAGTCCATGCTTGAAATGCAGTGCACAGAAAAACTGCTAGCCTCCATTTTTTTAACTGTAAAATAGGGATAATGGTAAATTCCTTACTTAAAATGATAAATATTTGAAGGCTGATATATATGCAATACTGTAACAAGATGAAGGAATATAAATACAAATGAGGGCTTTCTGATGAAAGTTTCAAAAGCTGCTCAGGAGCTTCTCTGCTGCAGAAGGAGAAATTAAGGCCATGTTCCCCAGCTATCACTCCATTCCAGCAAATTCACTTCATATGCTAAGAAAAAAACCCGTAGACACGTCACTTACTGCCTTAGTTTAAAGGCAGTGCAGGTGTTCACAGTATGTATCCTAGCATGCTTGTCAGATTATCAAGACTATTTTAATTACTAAGACTAACTCTGATACTGGTGATGACAAACATACTGAATTATGAGACAGGGCTGATATTCCACAAGTGTTTTAATTTAAACTAAACTATTCCTGCTTTACAGTTTTTCCTCTCTTACGACTCTCTCCTACTCCCGGAGATGACTACAACTTTAACCTGGATGATAATGAAGGAGTCTGTGATCTCTTTGATGTGCAGATACTAAATTATTAGATATTGTGTCAACCAGACTACTTATCTACCTCTAACTATAACATTCTAGACTTCTTCATAACCTAAGTATTTGAATAATGAATGTATAACTTCTTAGTTCACTGACTCTGGGAGTATATTTCCTTTTGCTTCCTTTAACTACTTCACAAAAAAAAATTCAACAATGAGAAAAAAGGGCTTTTATCAAAAATTCTGGCACGTTTTTTCACCTGAGTGTCGTCTGTGTAATCCAATTATTTGGAGTTTTCTTCAGTAAGAAAAGTGAAAATACTTTGTAGCCTTTTGATCATTTTTTTAAAAAATGATTAGGCTTCTTGCTCACTGTTAACAGCATTGTCTTTGAAGCTTTACTGCCAAGAAGCTTTCTGTATTTTTTTCCAACCTTTCAATCAATTTTGAAGCTTTCACTGCCAAGCTGAAAAGTGAAGGATATCAACTCGAGTTATGCTAAGTTGTTTCAGTGAACCAATTTTGTGAAGTGCCTTCTGTTTTAGCACTTTAAGTTTCTCACACTGACTTCTGACATTCCGCTTTCCTAGATGATAGGAAAGGTCTGTTTGTAGTTTGTATTGAAGTGTGCCAATACTTGTATATTAACAAGATTTTTTTAATAAAATTGTACAAACAAAGCCACCAGTAGTTTTGATGTTCATTTCTTGCAATCCCTTCATTGTCCATTATTCATTACAACTGAGATAAGAGGCTTGTGGCAGCATCCACATTTGCTGGTTCCTCTTCCAGATGTGCGGAAGCCTGAAAAAAAATGTTACAGTTGAAAGTAGAAGCAGTATCTTTTTATTCTGCTTGGAAAATAAATAAATAAATACATGTTGTCTAGAAGATTAGTTTGTCTTTATATGTTTAATTTAGGCTAATTTTGCAGTCATAATTTATTAATTTGGGGGATTGCAGGATTCACTAACCTTGACAGATAAGCAACCCAATACTTTATGCTGCAGGAGAAAGACAAAGCATCATGCCAGTAATGTAACATACATGGCCAAATGGTAATAGGCTCAGTTTTTAGTTCAGGTAGTGCTTTCAACAACATAATTTTGCAGCTTTACCAATATACAAAACTATTACAGCCTAAGTGATCAAATTCAATATTCTACCAGCATGGGAGCAGTGGTATAGTCCAAATTCCTGGCTGCATGCAATAGCAAATGAGCAGGGACAGGGCCACTGACACCAACTGCCTTGAAACCCTTGCTCGACCTCATCCTGTGCTTGGTGGCACTGTCACCTATGTTTCATTTTTCCCTCAGCTTCTCCTTAAGGTATTCGACACTCGTTCTGTTGCTCCCAGCCATACAGAAATTTGATCATCCCAGACACAGTAAATAAAACTCAAATCATGTCCATGTCTCCCTACTCCCTCTACTTCCCCCAAAAGCCAGGATGGATTGATTCATCTGTACTTTGTCCTGGCTCACTACTTTCTCTCTCCTCCCAACCATGCTCAGTACATCAGGAAGAGGCAGTGTAAAGACTTTATACAGAGGAGCTTGTCTGCAATTAAATTCTGTGAATGACTTCTTGCTCAAGACTGCATGTAGCCCTGTTTAATAGAGTAGACAAAGGAAGATGAGTGACACACTGTCTTGAACCTGAAGTGCTACAGGCAAGAGCTCTAGTACAGAAATAGCTGCTTCAGGTGTTGGTACTTCTGATGACGGAACAGGAAGGCTTAGGAATTGGGAACAGAAAGAGTCAGAGCTGTTTGGTTCAAAGCACTATCAGGTGCTTCAGGTACGGAACAGCAAGGTTCATCCTTACTTTCTGTGTCTATTCATGTTGAGGCATAAGTCTCAAATTAAGAAGCTGGAGCTGAAATTATCTTTTTTAAAAAAATCAATTAAAAACCAGCTAGAACATAATTTAAAAATACATTTTAGAAGCATGCTCTGGCATGGCTGCCCACCCTCTTCCCTCTTGACTTTAGTAGTTATATAGCACTTGAATATGCTAACCAGATTTCAACATTGCCACACAACTGAAATTAATAAAGCTGGGTTTATAGTTTTAAAGCAACTGCATGAATTGCCTGCAGCCTCAGAGCCAGGATATAATGCTTTGAACACGCATTTTCCTTTCATTTACCTCCTCAGATTTTTACAAAGGGAAATTACCTCATGGCTTTTCTGAGGTTCCGCTGCAGTGCCTTTTGATAGCTGCTGTACTTCTTTCTGAACTTCAGCAAATGCTTTATTTATGGTACTAACTTTCTCAGCATTTCTAATGTTTATCTGTAAGGGAAAAAAAACACACACATTGGTATTTTTAACTGAAGTTCCATTGGCATGTGAAATTGCACCATTTTTGTACAACTGTTATACAGCCAGTGTTATATGCATATATTCCAAAATTGCTTTTTAGTAGGTATGTTTTTAAACTTGACTTTATCTGTTGCTTAATTATATCATCTAGTCACGTACTACTAATGTTCTAATAAATTGAAAATTATGAAAGCAGTTAAACTTGTTCTATTGTGCCCACAGTGATCCAGAAACAGAACACAGAGAAAATAAAAGCCAGGCTGTGGAAAGGCCCCCAGCTCCTCTTAGCTGGAGTGGAATTCCAGGAAGGTCTCCTTCCTTCATTTGTAAATGATCTTACCATTTTGAGTTTTTTCCAGTAGTTTGCCTTTCAGCATCACACCATGCATTCCTACTTTGTCATAGTGTAGGTCTGGCCAACGTCTATCAGATTTTGCTACAGTATTTAAAGAAACTTCTATGGCTGTAGCAGACCAGGATGTGTACCTGGTCCCTGCACACCTCCGCCTCGCTTAACTAGCCCAAGTCTGTCTTCGCGAGTTATTTCGGCAAAGATGCTTACTTTTGAATGGAAAAAGCTAAGATACAGACATGTGCTGTGCTCTGGGGACAATAATCTTGTCCTAGAGGAGCAGAGTGGATGCATTGGGCCATCAACTCTGCAGCAAATTAGAATTCAGCCGATGTCAGCCCTAGCACCTGTTGCTGGAACAGGATTGTAGCCAGATAATAGCCCATTACATTGCAAATGTTCCAGAAGCACACTCATACTTCTTCAGGCAACCCCAAATTTCAAGATACCTACTGCTGTTCCAAAGGTTACCCTGTAATTCACCTCTCAGCAATTTACATAGGCAGAAGTAAACCGTGAACTGTTACACGTATTCATTTTGCTTTCGAAGCTTCCATAATTTCGGAGCATGTGTACAACAATTCCATTTATTCTAAGCGAGTGACCAAGGGAACCAGTAGCAAGAAAGCAGTGGCAAGAGGCTGATAAAACAAGCCTATTCAGATCAGCAGTTTAATTCCTAATAACCTGGATGGTGACTCAGCTCCCAGCTCAAACCAGAGTGGGTGGGACTGTGGGCAATGCAATTTACAAAGAGCTTAGGTTTCCATCAGGGCTTGCTACCATCTTCTGGCTTCACAGGGATGCTGAAAGGATCCAGTCAGTTTTAATACCCGATACCTTCAGCTACTCTGGCAGGACTCCTCCGTGGAAAGAGGCTCTGTAGCTCACGTGTATCTGTATCAAAAGCTGTTTGAATAGTTACAATGGGCTTTTATCCATTTAGGAGTAAACCTACTCTAACAATTTTTTCTGAGCATTTTCCTATACTGCTTAATGGTAAGTAAATCCCTAAAGGCTTAATGAATTAAAGAATACAGCTTCAAACACACAGAATAAAATTTTACTCCTAATAAGCTACTGACTTTACATGAATATGTTTTTAAACCTGTTTCTCCCTTTGTTATACAGAAACCTCTAAACTAAATGGAGGTGTAACACCAGCAATATGAAATCGTTTTGGCACTGAAGGCAGTAGCTTAAAGGAAAGGGGTGAGTGGAGGCACATCCATGCTCGGGACAGCAGGTGAATCCCCCTCCTTGCCCACGTCGCCTTCCCAGGTGCCTCTGTACAACAGGTATGAGGCTCTGGATGTGGATAATCCACCAGTGGATGATGTGGGTGATGCTCCATCTACACCAGAGGTGTTGCCAAGGTCAGAAAGGCCTACCCCTAGTATCACGACCACCTCCACAAGGAAGAAAAGACAGGGGTGACTACTTTTAGGCAACTGCCTTGTGAGGGGAGCAGAGGGCCCAACATGCCGGACAGACCCTCTTAGGGAAGTCTGCTGCCTCCCTGTGAGCCGAGTTAAGGGCACCGCTAGGAAATTTCCTAGCCTGGTAAAGCCCTCAGACTATTACCCATGACTGCTCTTCCATGTGGGTGGTGACGAAGCTGCAACACGTAGTCCAAGGGTGATCAAAAGAGGCTTCAGCCCTTGGGATGACTGGTGAGGGAATCCGGAGCACAGGTTATTTTTTCCTCTCTCCTTCTAGTTGCGGGCAGTGACACTGGAAGAAACAGAGGCACCCGGTCTATTAATACATGGCTCCTTGGCTGGTGTCACTGCCACAATTTTTAGTTTTCCAATAACTGGATGGCCTGCTGGCACCCGGTGAGATTCACCTTTCTCAAAGGGGGATGAATGAGGTCTTTGCTCATGAGCTGGCGGGGCTCATTGACAGAGCTTTAAACTAGACTTCAAGGCGGAGGGGGATAACGACAGGCTTGCCTGTGACAAGCAGAGAGCACCTGAAGAGCAGCAGGAAGGAATTCCAACCACTCCAGCCAGTAAGTCAGCTTCATCAGGGGCCCGACTTAAATGCCTCTATGCAAACACACGCAGCATGGGGAATAAACAAGAGGAGTTAGAGGAGTGTGCACGCCTGCAGGATTATGATCTTATTAGCATTGCAGAGACGTGGTGGGATGAATCCTATGACCGGAGCGTTGGAATGGAAGGATACAGGCTCTTTAGGATGGACAAGCAGGGAGAAGGAGGTGTCACCCTCTATGTCAGTGACCAGCTGGAGTGCATGCAGCTCTGCTGGGGGTGGATGAAGAGCCAACAAAGAGCTTATGGGTCAGGATCAAAAGGAGAGCAGGACAGGTGACATTATAGTGGGGGTCTGTTATAGACCACCTGACCAGGAAGACCAAGTGGATGAGGCCCTTTATGGACAGATAGGAGCAGCCTCAAGTTCATAAGCCCTGGTCCTCATGGGGGACTTCAACCACCCCAATATCTGTTGGAGGGACAACACAGCAGGGCATAGGCAATCCAGGAGGTTCCTGGAATGCATGGATGATAACTTCCTTCTCCAAGTGACAGAGAAAACAATGAGGAGAAGTGCTATGCTGGACCGTGTTCTCATCAAGGAGGAGCTGGTGGGGAATGTGAAGATCAAGGGCAGCCTCGGCAGTAGTGACCATGAAATAGTGAAATTCAAGATTCTTAGGGAGGCAAGCAGGGTGCTCAGTAAGCTCACTACCCTGGCCTTCAAGAGAGCAGACTTTGGCCTCTTCAGGGGTCTTCTTGGTAGAGTACCATGGAATAAAGCCCTGGAGGGAAGAGGAGCCCAAGATTCAAGGATCACCTCCTCCAAGCTCAGGGGCAGTGCATCCCAACAGAGGAAGTCAGGCAGAAAAGCCAGGAGGCCTGCATGGATGAACAAAGAGCTCCTGGACAAATTCAAACGTAAAAAGGAAGCTTACAGAGGGGGCAAGGAAGGACAGGTAGCCTGGGAGGAATACAGAGAAATTGTCCAAGCAATC